ATAAATTGTAATGTTTTCGCTATTGAACAAAGACCTTTTGTTTTTCTATGTATATTTTAAGACTACTTTAATATTAGTTTTATTTTTTAAGGTAATACATGTCGTAGTTTTTAAGGGTGTTAAATTTCTAATAAACTAGTGCAGATTTCCTTCTAAGTCCTAAACCCCACAGAAAAACATTAGACTTTTTTAGTGCTTTTTTATGGTACTTATTTACATATTTATACATGGTTTGCTTAGCCTGCTATTTCTTTATTTAGCAATATTAAACATTATTTATTGATTCTGTGTTACGACAGTTGAGGATTTAGTTGTGTTACACACCCACACTCGTATATGCAGACTGTTTTTTCTTTTTCTTTAAAGGTTTTTAAAGTGATTTGAGGTAGAGAGAAAGAAACATCGATTTTTGTTGTTCTACTTATTTATGCATTCATTGTCTGATTCTTGTACGTGCCCAAACCAGGGATCCAATGGGAACAGTGCTCTCACCAACCGAGCTTCTGGGGCAGGGCCTGTCTTGCCTTATCCCCACCCTCTACAGAGTGTTATACCATAATTTATAGTTATTCTCCTGCCGGTGTTCCCATTGTTCTGATTATGTCCACTTCTTAGCAATGTTATTATTATGTTTCTTTTTTCTCATGGCCTTTTGTTTTTCCTGGAGTTAGTACAATAACTCCCTCCCCCGACCATGTATGTGTTTAGTACCCTCTGTACCTACTGTCAATTATTCACACATGCCCCCGCCCAAATGACATTTCAAGTCGTACCAGTCGGAATAGTCTAACTGCCATAACAAACAACCCAGAAAGTCTCGGCGAGTGTATGTGGTGTGGTTTATTTCTTCCTCCTGTCGCAGTGTAACGTGTGGCCACTGGGGTTTGTGTGTCCACAGACACTCAGGGTCACAGGCTTCTTTCCTCTGGGCTTTAATGTCTTCTAGGGCCACGGAGCTCCTCACTGAGTCTTTGTGTCCGGTTTTAATAAGACAAGAGGAGAAGCATCGAGAATCTCACAGGTCATTTTATGGGAATGGCCAGGAAGGCGGGCGCCACCGCTGTGACTCATACACTACTAACCAGCACTCAGTTACACGCCTTCCTACCTACAAGGGCTAAGAAGTGAAACTTAGTGGGGTACCTAGGAAAAGGGGGACATGGAACTGGATGAGCACTTCCAGTCTCCTCTGCACACGCATTCAACGGTTGGTCAGATGGACGTGTACGCGGAATAATTATTTTCTTTCCTGGAGGCCTTCCTGCTGTGATTCGTCCTTCTGCTTCTCGCTGGGACTGCTTCCCAGTTGTTGCTCAGGAGAATTCGCTTGATTGCCTTCTCTGTTGGTTCTGCATTTCTCGAGTTCCCTCTTTTCCTCTTTCTTGGTTCATAAGTTGGTTTGGGCGACCCTTCCTTAAAACCGGTATGAGGAGTATACGTTTGAATCCTCGTGTGTCTGAACATATCTTTTATCACACTTGGCTAGCGTTTGGTCCGGGTATGCAACTCTAAGTTCAAAGTAATTTTATTTTTAGAATGTGAAGACATTTCAAGAATCTTCTCAATCCATTATTGCTCTTGAGAAATCTAATGCAATTTTCATTCTTTTCCTTTACATGTGATCTGCTCTATGTTTCTGGAAGATGTTTTAGATTGTTCTCTTTATTCCTGGGCTTCTAATATTTCAGAATGATGTATATTGGTGTGTTTAATTAATTAACTAATTAAAAAATGATACTCTTCTGGCCTTTAGGGGAAGTTTTGATCCTAAAGAGTCAAAGATCCTTCTCTTCTGGAGTGGATTTTGCATTATTTATTTAATTGTTTTTGGGGGTCCATTTCTGGATAAAAATTGAAAGTTTCTTTTTTGGAATTCTCTGGAATTTTTATTTGTTAGAAAAGTTTTTCTTTTTCTCCAAATTTTTATGTCTGTATCTTTTTGTTCTATTTTTCCTGGAGATGTTTTCAATTTAATCTTATAAACCATCTGTCAATTATTGAATATTTAAAATGCTGAGAATATTTTCAATTTCAAGAGGGCTTTTTGTCTTATATATAAATTTCTTTTTAATTCATTTTCTGTAGCAGCAGAGTAAAAATGCATGTGTTCCATTCATCTTGTTAAACCACAAATGAACCTAGTTTATTTTCTACAGAAAATAAACCTCAGGTCTCCTGGAGGCTGGGTTGAGCAGATGGATGAAGTTATGGTTGGTTGATTGCACGGTCGTGGGGAAGGAAACTGAGGGTCCAAGCATTCCGTACACAGACATCTAACCAAACCCTGGTGTTCACCCCACCAGTGGCCCACTCCAGTGGTGCCTCTCAGCAGTAAGCAGGGCGAAATGTCATGCGTCTTATCCGTCACCCTTCCTACAGATGTGCCGGCGGGTTAACCCAAGCCTCCATCTGACTTAGCTCCTCCCACCATCTATTGCAGTTTGTTTTGTTGCTTTACTTCTCTTCTCCCTTTTATTTGTCTTTAGGATTCATCGATATTTAAAATATTCATTTCTTCTCATGTTAGAGGAGTTTAGTTAGGGAAGGGAGCTGAAACATGTGATCAGTTGGCCATTTTCCACTAGAAACCTCCCATCTACCTGCATATCTGATGACCTCACTCCTATATGTACTGAATGATAAACCTACTGACAAAAATTGTATCTCTCCAATTTGTGGAGAGATACAATAAACTCCAGGCACAGGAAGGCATTTGTTTTTTATTACGTCACGTGACGCCATCACGAGTTTTCATGGGGCTTTTCCTCTGCTCTGTCTCTGTTCCAAGGGGCCTCCATGAAGTGGCCCCAAATCATTGCCTCGTGCCCTCCCACTCCCCTCTCCTCCTCCGCATCCTTCTTCCTGGAAGAAGGATGGGCTCCCTGCCCTGCAGTAGCTCTGCAGCATCTGGTCACTGTGTGACACCAGGGTCTCTGAGCCTCAGAACCTGAAAGGCAGGACTTACATGACAAGTGACTGCAGGAGGATTGATCCTGCAAGAGTTGACCCTGAGAGCCCTGGCTGGTGTAGCTCAGTAGATTGAGCGCAGCCTGAAAATCAAAGGGTTGCTGCTTCAATTCCTGGTCAGGGCACATGCCTGTATTGTGGGCCAGGTCCCAGTGGGGGCCATGTAAGAAGCAACCACACATTGATGTTTCTCTCCCTCTTTTTCTCCCTCCCTTCCCCCCACTCTAAAAATAAATAAATAAATAAATAAATAAATAAATAAATAAATAAATAAATAATTTTAAAAAAGAGCTGACCCTGCAAGGCAGCTGGCACACTTATCTAGGGTAGGGGGACAAGGCCAGCAGGCCCGGAATGTGCTAGACTTTCTCCCAACAGAGAAAGTTTCCTGGGGACAGCAGGGAGGCAGCGCTGTGCTGGGACCAGCACGAGCCTGGCCAGTCAGGACCCAGCAGACCTGAGCTCTCCGTTTATGGACCTTCCTCATTCCGGGCACTTTGGTTGGGACCGTCTCAGCCTCAGTTTCTTCATTCTTAAAATGGGGACAATAAACATAGTAGGTGCCTTGCCTGTTTCAAAGCGATGTTGTGCAAGTCAAATGAAATGATACATGGGAAAGGATGTTAGAAACTGCACCACATACGGGAAATACTAGCTATTTGGATTAATGTGAGTAAACACGTGACCTAGGTGAGAACACAGATTATAATTGCAGAGCACAGAGAGTTATTTTAAATCCATGTTTTATGGGAGGTAGAAAAAGCTTAAGTTTGTTATGTTCAGTCTTTTATCTCTTTCCAGGCCAGTAGACACACGTTTGTTATGTGCTTAGATATTGCTGATGGATGCAGAATAGACATCACAAATATAGACCCCAGCACGTCTATTTTGAAAATCTACAGCCCGAGCATCCTGTACTTCATTCTGGTAGATCAGAATAATTTCTATGTAGTGGACCTGGCTTTGGGAGAATGAAGTAGATAAGTGCTACCAAAGTAATACCAGTGCATAGAATCACTGTGCACTTCACGGATATAAACTCATTTACCCACAATAACCCCAGGAAGGCATTTATTATCCCCATTTTCAAGACCAGAACATCGAGGCACAGAATATAGGACTTCTTCCACATTTCCCTAATAGAATAGACAGATTCCTGTGGGATCAAGGGTTTTCTTCCACACCTTCCTTCTCTGCTGTTTTGCTACTCTTCATGTTTCCTTTTGGTTTGGGGGTCTACTCCTGCCCCTTCCTCCAGCACTTTTCCCAGAGACTTCCCAGCTGATTCTCCGAGGTGCCCTGTCAAACAACGAAAATTTAAGCAGTCATTTCTGACTGTTTACCAACATGAGTGTAAGCAACAGGTTTGGAACTTAGATTTCACACAGAGGACTGAACCAGCTGCTACCAAGTGTAAACCTCGGATTCTCAAGAGACCTTAGTCTGTCTGAAACACGACCTCAAGACAGCAAGCCAGGATCTCTGCTATGGACCAACCCCAAGTGTCTAGAACAGGGTCTGACGCATAGTAGGCTCTTAATATTTGTTCAGGGAAGCGCATCCTCCTCGTTTATTTTGTTCTAATAGGATCTCTATTTACTAACTTACTGGTCTCTGAAGTGACTAGGAGGCAAAGTTAGCATGGTGCATACTATGCATTAGATTAATGCATTCATACTTACAGATGCTAACTTTTAATATGAATTTGGAACTGCCCTTCTACATACATCCCGAGGCCTTTCTCTGTTCTCCACCGGCAATTCCTCCCTCTCTGTAGTTAATGAGACATCCCTGGGGGGTGGGGCGGGGTGGGGGTGTAGAATGCAAAACATTGGAAGCAGTTCTCACAGTGCCCCGGGCTCTTTCAATAAAAGATATCAAAGAAAACACCAAGAAATAAAGGGGTAAAAATGAGCTGCTGCCAGGGTTTGAAGCTCCACAGAGGAGAATTTAACCAGGAGCCCAGTGCCTCTGAGTCACCACCGAGAGAGGGCCCGAGGTGAGCTCCGCACATCCACATCCGTGTTGGGGCTGGAGACACGCCTTCTTCTCACACACTCGCTCCAGATCCAGGCGTATGTGCGCACTCAGGGGTGGTGCTCCAGTCCTGCCATTCGCCGTCCCGACGGGCAGGGGCCGGGGAGCGAGCCAGAGCCACAGGTTGGAAAAATCAGGAGCTGTCCCGGTGATGGTCGCCCTGTAGAGCAGATCCCGTGTCCCTGCTGGCGTGGAAGCTCAGGAGTTGCAGGGCTTGGGGACCGGGAAGGCAGCCTCTGAAACCTGACACCCAGCCCTCGCAAAGGAAACTTCGCAGGCTGGTGAGTTGGGGAAGCCGGGCTGTTATTGCTGGAATATGTTCCCACCCACTGAGGGTATTCTCGGCGGCCGGCCTTGGAAAAGGAAGTGAGACGTGGACGAGCAGCCGCAGGCCCGCAGGGGCGAGGGGAGCCCGGCTGCGTGAATGAGCTTCTCAGAGCCGCAGCTCCAGCCCAAATCCTGGTCGGAGGACCGATGTCTTGTGTGTGTGCGCGCGCGGGTGGCATCAGAGGGCTGCCTGTTGGTATTTGCATTTCAAACAGCTGGTTGGGATTTAAAAAAAAAAAACAAAAAACCTGGGCATTGGGAGAGCAGTTTCCTTCTATTGGTATCTCGAACAACCACCAAATAATAATAACGATGATGATGATCATGATAACAAGATGTTTAGAGTTTCATTTAAGGAGAAGTAATTTAGTGAGGCACGCCAGGCAGGTGATAGGACATTTCTTTGCACTTCCTCAGGTGAAAGAGCCGCAGAGAAATCAAAAGTAGTTCGTGTCTTCCAATGTTTTGCTCAGTTTCTCCCCCCCAAATTTCGATCCAAGCGTTGCAGCTACTAGGGGGTGAGCGAGTGTGTGCGTTTCAGTGGTAACAAGGTATTAGCTTCCAAGAATTTCCCAGCCAACACAGCATTAACTGAAAACTACTGAAGCAGGTGGAATGTTACCTGCAACTAGAGACCTCCTTCCTAGGAAAAACGTATGGATGGCTGTAATCACATACCTACAACATGCTTACGACTAAATTTTAATTTCAAGATATAAATTTAAGGGCATAAGATTCCAGTTGTTTAAATGGTTTGATTAAGCCCAAATTAATAGCATGTCATTTTCAGGATTAGCAACAAAATTATTATTTAACATAGTAATAACTATGAATTTTGACTTAGATATGTTTAAAAGAAAAACGTGTGCTGGTTTTACTATTTAGTTACATTGATGCATATTTGAATATGTATTCAAATATATATATCGTGGTATATGTATATTCAAAGTATATATATTTAAATATATACAAATATATATTTATATATACATTCATATATATATATATGGTTGCCTATTTCTAAATTTGCAAAGTTAACAGAAAGGTAGACTTCAGCATTATAGCCTCAGGTATTTAAGCTTATTGACTTTTCAAGTTCTTATCAAGTCCAAATTGTAATATGATGTGAGAGCCATTTCCCATAAATATTTTTCATAATATCACAGCCTAATCCTCTACCCAGATGGGATCAGTCCTTCTTGAAGGCAAGAGGGGAGTCTTAGGATGACCAATAAAGGGTATTCTTGAGAGATAGTTTGCTATTAATCAGGCTTTTCTGCTTCAGAACTAACTATGGCCTCCCATAAAATGTTACCATCATCACTTTCAAAATGAAAATGAAACATTGCAGATGAAACTGGATGGGCCTGTTCTCACAGTTGCCAAGAAGGTGTAAAGGGAATCTGTCAGATGCACACCAAGCACAGCTCTCTCATAGGCCACTCCTGGCACAGAATTCTGCATTCGACCTGATGAGGAACGTTCCCCTAGGGTAATCGATCGTCTCAGCTCCTCAGCACACCAGCTTACACTAAAGTTATCTGCCCGTGCCTGACTTGCTTTTCAGGTATTTCAGTACTGTTCTGGAAAAGTGGAACTCATCCAAAGCCCCAGGTGTTTCAGAACAGAAATCTGCTCTTTTCCCACCTCTGGGAAATTTTGGACTAGTTATTTTATTTATTTATTTATGTATTTTCAGATCAGCAGAGCATGAAACATAGAGCAACTATTCAAGTAAAACTCAGCTCACAGTGAACCCAGGACCTTGAGTTGATTTATCAAGGCGAGTTAACCAATAGTTCATCTTTTGAGCAAGTAATTGTAATGTTGAGATGAGGGAAAACAATTACAGTAAAAGCAGGACAAACAAGTTGTTTCCCATGGTGACTATGTCACTTTCTAAAGATGGCAGCTAAAAGGAAATGATTTTTTACTCATTATTAGGTGTATGCAGAGACGAAGTTTATTACATAATTGTAGGAAGTAGAAATATCACTAAGGGTAACAAAGTCCTATTGTGAACCTCATAAATGGAATAAAGGGTATTACTTTGTTTTATGCACTTTGCGATCATTATTCATGTTCCCTAAATATTAAGCTTTTCTCATAAGCCCTCCTTACATGAAGAAAACTTATCCAGAGTGCTGATAATGAGAATAAAACTCTGTTTAGCACATAGCTAAAAAGTATCCCCAATTAAACACCTAAATCAATCAACAAATGAGTAATTAATTATGCAAGCTTCAGTGCGATAAAAAATACTTAAAGTGTAATTAGGAGAGTGACCTGGAAGGGGGTGGAAGGGTACGTGGGATTCAGTGGTCAGGGAGAGCCTTCGGGAAGCCCATCTGTTTAACAGCCCCATGGCCTCAATGAAGAGAAAGTATATTATAAGGTGACCAGAGTAGACAAGAGACCAGTTAGGAGGCTACAGTAGACCAGAGATGACAGCGACATAAAAACAGGTGGAAACAATGTGCTCCCAGAGAGAAGTGGAGAGCCAGGCAGTATTTGAAGGCAGAGATAATAATAGCACTTGCTGACTAATTGGATAAGGGGCAGGAATGAAGGAAAGGAAGAACCAAAATGATCATCAGGTTTTTTACTGAAGATACTGGGTAGGTGGTAAAGCCATTTCCTAAGACGGATAAAGCTAGCAGAAAAGCCACTCTGAAAGGAAAATGCAGAATTCATTTCCAGCCCTTCAAGGTATTTTTAGGTATCCGAGTGGAAAGGTCAGATTGGGCTTTTGGTTGTAAGAATCTGGAGTACTTGGAAGAAGTCACAGGCGAATAGAGACAGCTGGGACTCAAGTGTCCATGGGTGCTACTCAGAGCCATGGCCTTGAGGACATCACCTAGAGAGACAGGAGAAAGAAAGGGGGGGGGGGGGGGGGGGGCGAGTAGAGCCCTAAGGGCCAAGCCCTGGCTTCTCTAACACTGAGAGATCTTGCATGGAAGGAGCCAGTAAAAGTCAGTACAGTGGGAGGTAAACCAAGAGGAAGTGTTGTTGTGGAATCCAATCCAGGTAGCCTTTCCAAAAAAAAAGGGGGGGTGGGGGGAAGGCAGTTGTGTCAGATGTTGCTGGGATGATGAGTGAGATAAGGACCGGAAGGGATATTGCAGGTGGCAATTTGGAATCGCTGGCAGCTTTGATAGGGGATGGAGTTCTTAAAAATGAGAAGTTCAAGTAAACTTATTTTAGAAATTTGGAGATAGCATTTCACATTATCCTAAGAGAGATACCACTAGAGAAATTCATGATACTACATAGGGACTTTAATAAAATCAATTTCCAAAATGGCTTGTAGAGTGAATGAACAAAGGAATGCATAATTAGAAATACTTACAAAGGATTAGATGAGCTGAAAGTATAGGGTGAGGAAGACTAAAACCCAGAGTTGGCTGAAACTTGGAAAAATGCTGAGGAGAGCCAAAAATTTTTCTAGAGTCCTTTAGAGCAAAGCAGCGAATAAGGAAGTTAGCAGATGGGAGAGAAAGTGTCATTACTCAGTGTCTATTGCTTCCTCCTTCTTCCCAATGAAAAGAAATAGTGTTCGAAACCAGGAAGGCGAAGACAACACTGAAAGAAAGTTAAAACCAAGGAAAGAAGAGAAGTTACTGTGACTGGGAGAAACTTCTTTAAATGGAAACCAGGAGTGGTGGGGGCAGTGAAGAGGGCCCCCTCTGGGGAGATGGTACCTGACCTGAGACCTGAAGGGTGTCTGGGGCCAGTCAGGTGCACAGCTGGGAGAGAACAGTCCCAGCGAGCAAAAGCACCTGCCAAGTGCCTGACCTGGGAAAGAGCTTGTGCTCTCAGAGAGCTGGCAGAAGAGTTCAGAGAGGGGAAGGGGGGCCAGAGAGAGAGAGACCACACGGGAAGCCATTGCAGGGACTGGGTGGGACCACAGCTGACCCAGCGCAGCATCTGGGCTGTTGTAGGGACAGGCCAGTGCTGGGAGGTTGCTCAAAACACCCTTCTAGCTGTCTTTCTAAACTGTGATCCTACAAATACAGACACGCAATCTGTTTGATGTTTGATGGGTATTCTGGATCACGAATTAAGAGATACTAGTACACGTGTAGTTAATACAGTTGTAAAAAATAACATCAAAGTAAATTAAGTTGTAGCTTGCCACATACACCAAATGTCTAATGTATAGAAAGTCAGGAGGAAACTACTTTTCTCACTAGGTGAAACTGTAGTCAAGGATATTAAGACTCACCCACATAATTTTGGGAATAATGTCAAAGAAGGCAGATTAGATGTCATAAATTAGTGAGTTTTACCTCAAAACATTAAGAAGTCCATTGCTAATATAACACTCTTAGTGCTGAGTAATACAGCTGTTGAGTATGGCATTTCATCTCCATAAAGCTCGATTTTCTCCTACGTGCAAGAAAAAGATGCTGATTATCTCAATATCCCTGTTGTCTAGCTTTAGACTTGGGTAATTTACAATTCTTTTTACATATTTAGTTTCTTTCTTCTTTTTCTTTGTACCTTTCCTCTCTTCCTTCCCTTTATGTGCCAATTTACCCATTTGGGTCAGTAAGTGGATATATATATATATATATATATATATATATATATATATATAGATAGAGAGAGAGAGAGATAGAGAGAGAGAGATCTATGGAAATTGATGTGGGTGTGCATATATACACATATATGTACACACTCACAGAGGAAAAAGAGAGATATACAAATACTATATAGACAGTAAAAGAGGAACATTTTTATTTTAAAAGGCTTAGGGGGAAAGTACGAGATTTTAGTCTTCTTTCTGTAACACACACATTTATTTTTATGGTAATCTTGGGGTCAACCCAATATGCTTTCTTGTTGCCTTTCTCTTTAACTTGCTCAGAAAAATGAAACTGTGTCCTCAGTCTGGCCTGAGAGAGACACCAGAACAAAACTAATTAGAAAAAAACAAAATTTGCTTCGTATT